TATATTTATTCGTATATAATTACAAAATTATTATGAATATTTAGACATTTGCCCAATGCCAACAATTTAAATTAAATGACTTGAAAAGGACATGTACTGTAGGCCAAGTTGAACTTCAAAAATTTTTATTTTATAGCAACAAAACATTCATAATATATCAATATCGCATTCCGATTCTTGTTTTCGGATCATCCATTTCAAGAATGACAAATTGATGTCTTGTTAAAGAATGAAAAAAGCTTTCTTGCGGTAAGCTAAGTAATATATGTAGTTGTTCTTATATTCAGTGAAGAAAACGAGAATGATATGGTAAATGGGGCAAGTTCCATGCTGATAAAGTTTCCCTGGATCTGAGAAAGATTAAAACTGGGACGCAACATGGGCGATATGTTTTTGAGAAAAAAATCTATAAAAAATTAGCTTTACAAAAGACTTCTCTGAGTTTTTAAAGTAAATCCGAAAAGGATCAGCAGGGAATGGCTTACTTCTACCAACTTTAGAAAGATGCTTGGATATCGTATTTCTGGATTTCTTTCGAAACTTTTGGTTAGAGAGGTTTAGGTTCATTATGATCGTACTATTTTCAGTGGCTCATTAATAGTAAAAGGCAAGAGTTCATTATTATTAGACAATTGTTTTGTGAGCTATCGTCAACCAATCCTAAATGAAAAGTGATATATGAAAAAATTAAATATCATCCTTTATAGAATTTTTATTTTTAAAATTAATTTTCATAAAATAACACAAAAAATAAAAATACAATTTTTTACAACGAAAAAAATCATGGCAAAAAAATAAATAAAATTTTGTCATCGCCCTGCAAAATTTTCGCTAAACAGCCCTGTCTGGCAACACTGCTTCATAAAAGTTAGCTGCCATACTATAAAAGTTACACCAAATACTAAATGCACACGTAGTATTACTTTTTACTCATAGCTTAAAGATATCTTAAAAAAGAAATTAATAAAGTGAAATGAAAGTGAACTCACATAACGTTAAATGATATATAAATATTTTTTAGTAAAAAAAATATAGTTTTTTTTTAGTGAAAAAAAAAAATTTTATAGCGAAAAAATACTTTTTAATGAAAAATAATAATTCTTTAGTAAAAAAAATTCTTTATTAAAAAAAATAATAATTTTTTAGTGAAAAAAATAAGTTTTTAGCAAAAAAAAATTTTTTTTGGTAAAAAAAAGCCTTTTAATGCACAAAAGAATACTTTTTATTGAAAAATAATAATTCTTTAGTGAAAAAATAATAATTTTTTAGTGAAAACAATAATAATTTTTAGTGAGAAAATAAGAAATAGTTTTTTAGCTAAAAAGTTATATTATTTTTTTATAATTATTATTAGTTTTTAATAAAAAAATTTCTTTTAGTGTACAAAAAAAATATTTTTTATTGAAAAATAATAATTCTCTAGAAAAAAATAGTAATTTTTAAATGAAAAAAAAAATAAATTTTAGCAAAAAAAAAAAATAAATTTTAGCAAAAAAAAAAAATAAATTTTAGCAAAAAAAAAATAATTTTTGAGCGAAAGAATACTTTTAATTAAAAAATAATAATTTAAAAAAAAAATTTTTTTTAAATGAAAAAATAAGTTTTTTAAAAAAAAGTAATAATTTTTTGGTAAAAATAGGTTTTTAAGTTAAGAAAAAATACTTTTTATCGAAAAATAATAATTCTTAAGTAAAAACAATAGTAATTTCTTAGTAAACACACAATAAATTTTTAATTGAAAAAAAAAATTTTTTTTTTTGTAAATGAAAATAAAAAAAGAGCCAAAAAAATTAAATTAAGTAAAAAAATTTTCCCATACCGGGAATCGAACCCGGGCCTTCCGGGTGAGAGCCGGATATCCTAACCACTAGACAATATGGGATACTAAAGCACACTGGCAAATGTGCTACATTAACCGTGCGTACATTGTTATTTAACACTACTTTGTAGATATTATATATGTACATATGTATGTATGTACTCAAATGAATTTGAGGAAGCAACTGAATATATATTTTTTTCATTTCTTTTATTTACAGCTCAAAAGCAGCGGCAGCAAAGCGTAAAAATCACAGGCATGCGCAGTAACGACCTTTATTAGGTGAATAAAAACTCGTATTTTTGCATGAGTAAACCAAAGAATCACGTCTGCTCTACCTGCATGCCAAATGAAATGCGTTTAATGGCGCTTAAAGTAAATAAATAAAGGAGAAAGATAATAAATAAATGCAAATAAACTGAAAGCAGACTTTGTTTACATATAAGTTTGCAAAAATATTGGTTTACGTGCTCTGTTAAAGAGATATACATATGTACAAATATATGTATGTATGTACATTAGTGTGACGCCCACGCCTGCGTCGTAACGTACATATGTAGTTGACATAAAGCCCAATTCGGCGACAGTCATGCGTGTCGCATATTCCACGAAAATTTATCAAGCTCATCAGCCAGAGCCAGCTTGTGTGCGAACTCCGTCGCCAGCTCCTCAATGCACCTACACACATCAGTGTATGCCTCACCATCACCACTCCCACGAAGCGTAGCGGCGCGGCACCACCAACGTCGCCAGCAAACGGCACAAAACGACCGCACTCATGTGGATTAACACATTTTGTTTTCGTGTTTTATGGTCCGTCTGTGTTATCGTCTTGCGTCCATCAGTTGGGTGCATCCAAGCAATGCGCTTTATGAACGATGTAATTTTCCACTGCCAAAACTTCATGAAAAAAAGACGAAATTAATAAAATATAACAATAAATAAATTTGCATGCCTCAACACTTGGTACTGTCCATTTGACTGCCTTTTTTGACTCGTTTTTTTTAATGGCGATCAACTGGCTGTGTATCGCCTGTTTCTTATACCGGTGTACATTGAACACAGAGCATATTAGGCTTGTCCAACGAACGGATTAATGGAGACGACACGAGCAGAACACCAACACACCTGCTGGACTACACTCGATATTTGGAAACTGGGTAGAGTGCTGCCGCTACTAAAACCAGCGACCCATGCCAACACACTAAAGCCATATTGTCGTGTCTCGTGTAACGTAGACTATAGAGGTTTTGCTCAGCACATTTTATATCCACCAAATGTGCCCAGCAGTATATCAGCGCTGAATCTCTCAATAGTTTTTGACACGCTCAAGCAAGCAGTGCTACTATCGGACATTGAGGAACCCTCATTATCGTCGGTGGTCTACCAATGATTCGAGGACAAACTTCAAAACTTCAAAAAATTATGTAAAGAACACCTCTCCTCGCTTATCGTTTATTTTTACTCTTCGAAGCTCACTCCACCACTGGATGGTGTTTCTTTAAATTAAGAGGCCCATGACTTGTCGATATTGGCGTCTGTCCAGTATATTAATATTCGCTGTACTACATATGCAACTACAACCAGCGAAATCTCCGACTACCAGCTTCTCTAAGCAGTACCGACCTTAACTGAATACCATAGATGATGACTTTAGAATTCTGATAGTAAATAATTTCCTTCACTCCGAAGGCGACTGCGATTGCAGACAAAGTACAGAGCCCAACAAACTCCTCAAATCGCTAACTGATAGCAACTAGCGGGAAGATCAGATGTTGCTCGTAACTTACAAGGCAATCGGCCAGTGGATCGTATACTGTGTTCACTGTTCTGTGCGCCGGGGACGAGATGAAGAAATTAAAAGCCTGCCAAAACATTGCCTTGAGGTCCGTGCCGGGAAATCTACGGGTGAAACATCTATTCTTTCTATATACTGGAGCTGAACCTGCAGGGAGGCACATCAGGAAGGGAGTATTCGACTAAAAGGCTGGCATACTGACAGACTTTAAACGCCATTAATCGAGAATCCTTGACATCTTTATAAACTCTCTTCCCGTAGATGACGTATTAGGAATAGAACTACCCCCCTAGTCCGAGAACTCGAGCTACCTCGCTGGACCCGAGTAATACTGGCACAATTAAAATCTGGTTATTATAATGGATAGAATCCCAATATCAGTCCAATCTCCTATTCCAAGTAATACTGGCATATATAAGATCTGGTTACTATAATAGATAGTCTCCTCACAGAAGTCCTAACCCCCCTAGTCGGACAGCTCGAGCTGCCTCACGAGACCTGAGTAATACTGGCACAGTTAAGATCTCGATACTATAATCGATTAAACTCCTACCTAATCCGACATATTTAGCGTATGTCGCGCATGCAACGAGCCATGCCTTCACCTGACCTGATCCGAACTCATCCAAACAGCCCGTTTCCTGCTCTAAGCTAACCACAGCTAACTGCTACAACAAAAAAAATTAATTGATTTTCTTGAACTCTTGTCTGCTTAATGCTTACTTCTTACTTCTGCTAAAGTCCGGTAAGCCGACTGGCGTTTTATAAAAAAATAAAAATCAGCACAGATTCTAATTTTCGGTTCGAACCGAACTTAGTCTTCTTTACATCCAACCGTACAATTTTGTTCGTGCGTGTGTTGCACATGCCATTTTGGCGGCCCTCGCTTTTGCACTTTTACAAGGTGCCAAATGTGCGAACTCGTGCAGCTCCCCTTTTGTCGCGGCGTCGTAAGTGGGTCACATATGGCGGTGTTTACTTGTTGGCAGCGGCGATGGCGTGCGGTGGCTTGGTAAAGACAAAAGCTTGTAAATTGGAAAAGGAATTTCGCGCTAATGAAAAATGTGTTGGAAAAAAAAATAAAAAAAAATAAAAACTTAATCAAGAAATCACAAATCTCCAGTAAAAAATTAAACAAAAAAGTGCTAATTTATGTTAGAAACCCGTATTTGGGTGGCTTTGAGCCGTACGCGGCCAACGAAAATGAAAAATATCAATTTATACGTAATTAATATTACATTAAGCGGCTTTCGAAATTTGTTAGTGTCGCGTACGTGACGCAGCGAGCAAGCCAAAAGCAGAGAGAGAGAGCATTTTTGTATTTATAAATAAAAATAATTTATTTTTTACTCAAACAGCAATACAAAAAACGAAAGAGAGACAATGAATTAAATATAAACAAAAAAACTTTTTATGTGTATTTGTGCGAAGAGTGGAATAAAAATAAGGAAAATTCATTCATAAAATCAACGCTGTACGCTCACGAACGTGTGCTCTCAATTTTACGCTTGAAAAATACCAACTGCCGAGAACTCTCGCAAAGATGCATACAACACATCTCGGTACGCCCGCAGCGGCGCCGACGTCAGCGACAACGCCCAACATACACCAACAAAAACCCAACAGCTACAGTTACAGTCCACAATATCACAACAAAAGTAATAGTAATACTCACCACGGTTTGAACTATACACCACATTACGATCCAACCAACAGCATATTCACCAATGCGCAACCAACTCACCAACAACACCAATACACTTCCGGCAATGCGACGCAAAGTGCCACCACCACAGCGACTACCGGCGGCGATGCCGGCAATCACACACTCTCGCAAACACATAAATTTGCGCCTGCACGTAGACTTGCTGCTCGTCAGACATTGCGTCTTCAAATACCCAAGCAACAGGGTGACTCACATGCTACAACTTACTATAAACATTCACCATCGCAATTGCCACCAGCGCCGATATTGAAACGTCATCAAACACTCACACCAACACCAACGATGGCGCAACACGGCACCGCTGCAGTGGTTGGCCTTCCGAAATCAGCTTCACCACTCGAGTCGCATAAGTTGCCGAATGTGATTGGTAATAGCGCGTCACCATCCTCGGGTTCGGCTGCTTCTCTCTACTACGGCCACAATGGCGGTTTGTCCATTCAGACGGCCACGGCGACACCGAGTAGTGCAAATAAGTTTTTGAATTTACGTAAACCGAGCATCACCTTGAATTCGGTGGATGTGCGTAATGGCAGCAGTGGCACCGGCAGCATTGGCAGTTGTGGCAGCGATTTATTCGGTTTCGCCAAGGAGTTGTCGCCATCGATGGATATGAGTGGTGAGTAACTACTGAAATATATATGTATGTACATAGAAATATGTAATTTAAGAGAGTTGTCAGAGAATAGTTTGTAGCAAGAAATAATGGCAGCGCATTTGGTCTTTAAAGAAAGTCAGCACTTACAGACTTTCAGTGATAAAAGCCCTCCGATCCCTAAAGGAGTACAGACAGATCCTTTTAAAAGTCCTTTTTCTTCTTTACTCACGCGATTATATTATTATTATTAATTCCTTGTTTTTTGCTGTTGGGCGCCTATCGGAGGAAATACCAAGTACAGCCAGGTACTTTCTATCTGTCCTCTCCAACAGAGTGGAGGTCTTTCGCTGCTGCCACTGGCTAAAGCTAAAGCTAAAATATTCTTTCCGGACCACACAACCGCATCGGCAGCCAATCTGCTGTCCTTTGATTCGCTGAATTATAAAAATATCCTCTATCTCTTCAGCCCATCATTCTATCGGCTGTGTTATTTGCCGATCCCAACTCGCGGAGGACCACAAATCTCACGTAAGCCTTTCTCCCGAAAACCCTTAACGCCGACTCATCAGATGTCGTCATCGTCCATGCCTCCGCCCCATACAGTGTAACGATAAGCGACTTGTAGAGTTTGGTCCCCGTTCAATGAGAGAGTACAACAAATTCGGGTCGTTCCGGTAAAAAGACTCGACTGACGCGGGAACTATTAGATTTATGTAGCCTCTTACCACAGGCATGCCTAACCACGATTAATTCTTGAATCCCTAACCCAATGCCAATGTTGTAGTCCCAGGGCGTTGACGTTGGGATCCCTCATCTCCTATGTCGCTTTGTTGTTTTTAGGTGGCTAATTGTTATTCAAACATTTTCATAGCCGACATAGTCTTTTCCATCGTCATCGACTGGTTGTCGATTTTCTCTGCCATTACCTGAGCTGGAGAGGTGTGTCTACACAAATTCCGTCCCCTCTGGGTATCAGTCACTAGATCATCTCTCAGGGTGCTAAAAAAGTTTGCTCCGATCTTGAAACCTTCTGTAAGTCGCCGTATCTCGGCCTCTTTCTTTTTTTGTCTACACATGCGCCCTGCTTCTTCTTTAAATTCTCGGTATCTATCCCTAGAATATGTGTAAACAAGTTGGCTTAATTATAGCCAACGAAAAACTCTTATCATCAATTGGCAAAGAGTTGTAAACAAATGGGCGTTAAATGGCGCCATAAGGCAACCCTGGTATTAGTAACCTCACTTATAGTTTTGTGCGATGACTTTGTCTCTTTGAGAGTAGTTTTGAATTGAAGTTCCCTACCTACAGATTTTTTGCCATTCTAAAATGTGACTTGCGGGCGCAATAACCTCGTTATTAGCAGTATGTACTACCACGCGAAAGACCCTGTGCTCGATCAACATTCAAAATTATAGAAAATTTATTTAAATTTAAATAAGAAAGAAAAAAAATCTCATTACGGTCGGCTATCGGCAGGGAATGTAAAGTCCTCCAAGTGTTTTTCTGACATGAAAAATCCTCATAAAAATCCATCGGCCATTCGCAGGCGGTTCACAATAACCTCTGGGTCTTTCCATTTGTTGGAAAACCATCAAGATACACACCACAAGCAGGAGCTCGGCCGAAAATAGTTTCAGCGGTTGAAAAGCACCAATTATATATTACAACAAATAGACCGCTTGAAGGCGGAACTTATCCAGAAGAGGCCATCTTTGATCAACAGAGGCCGTATTGTATTCCATCAGGACAACGCCAGTTCGCACACGTCTTTGGTGATGCGCCGGAAGCTCCAGGAGCTCGTGTGTGAGGTCGTAATATACTCATCTTATAGTCCGGACCTGGCACCAAGTGATTACCATCTTTTCCTGTCTATGGTGAATGCGCTTAAAGATGAGAAGTTGGCCTCAAGAGAGGCCTGTGAAAATTGGCTCTCCGAGTTTTTCCCCGATAGGGACGTAAGGAGGGTATAATGAAGTTGACATCTCGTTGGCAACAAAATCAATAAAAAAAACCGAACGAACTTTTCACTTGGCCTAATTTATATATATTTATATTGTAGTCTCAGGTCGGAAAATATGATGAAAGCGACAATTTAGCTTCGGAAATTGATCTTCAAAAATACTTAATATTGGCTAATGGAAGTCGAACGCTTCTATACATCGTCTAAGGTTTATATTGAGATCGCTTGCCATTTTGTAATATAAATAAGCGCTAAAAATACTTAATTTTATTATAAAAAAACACAAAACATATACGCATACATTTAAATGTATATTTTCATTTTTTAATAGATAACTCACCGATTTTTGCCTCATCCATATCGCCTTCAACAAGTTCAGGTTGCTCTCCCACACATCATATTAATCGGCTTTTCAGCTTGAGCCCGTCAACAATACGCAGTTATGGCAATGTGAGTACAACTTATTTTTTATTAAATAAATCTGTCTATATTAAAGCTATAAAAGCCAAAGGAATTGATTTTAAAACCCTTTTTCTCTCTCTGTGTATGCTTTGAAGAAGACTTGGATGGAATTAAGTTATTTTCAGTTAAGAGAGCTTTTCGTTTGGAAAAAGTTTCCGCTAGATGTCGTCTTTGTCGAATAATTTAGAAAAAATAATCTTTTTAGTCGGATTCGGCTTATAATTGAGATGGGATGGATGGGATAGATAATTGGGTACTAACGCTACTAAAAGTGATGATTCTAACAGTTACGGCTGCCATAAAAGATTTCTTATTATTTTTCTAATATTTTGTAAAATTGGGATTCAATGGGAATTATCAAAATTATAAATAAACACCGCTGCGACACGGTAGAAAGGAGTACGAAAGCTACGACCGCACTCCAAGGCAAGGCGGCGATCGGTAAAAGGTGGAGACTAGCATCACTGGCTATACAAAACGGAAACATTCTCTGGTGGTCGGCACTAGACGGCGAATGGTATCCACATTCATTACAGGTGCGCCGCCCTCAGCCTCTACGAAAGCCCATGAAATATGAAATTTTACACCATTCCGTCTCACTCTTTGACCCAACAAAAATTTCAGAGCGGCACGAATGGGAAAATGTGACAGTTCTGGTTCAAAGGTCTGTAAGTTGGTTACCCATCGGCTCTAAGTTTCATGGCAAAGTAGGTCGTGGAGTTCATTCCGAATCTTTTGCCCTTCAAGCAAAACTAACCGCTTCATGGTTGCTCAACTCTGATATGATAATCCAACCTATTACAATATATTTTGATCGCAAGACTGCCAGTTATCTTCAATGCCATCATACCACCTCAAAGGTGACAATAAAATGCGGAGAGATCTTAAACAAACTCTCGACTGTTGTATACGAGGCGTCCCTAGTGAGTCTCCGCCTATAGAACATCTCAGCATCCCAGGGAACTGCGTAGCCAACGAATAGACCCGAAAGAGAACAGTCCTAACCAAGGTAAACTTTGCACATGACGGGGGCCTACTGCTTTCCCCGGCAAAGTATATGCTAAGGTCAAACAGAAGGGCCAACAGTAGATGGCAGAGTGACAAGACAAATCTTCCTATTGATTGGGGTGACCAGAACTAAGTCTTTGCGCCTTCTAAATGGGACTTCTACGAGCATAACAACTGGGGTAATGTCCGGACACTGTCTTATGTATTAGTCGAGACGAACTCAACTAAGTTTCTACTTCTCTTAAACCGGACCGCCTCCATAGGCATAACAGCCGGCGTAATGTCCGGACAGCGTCTTATAGGGACTCAAGGCAGAGGGATGCGCTGCTTTTCAAACGAATTATGCCGCAACTGCAAAGAGATGGAGGAGGAGAATTCGCTAGAACAGTACCTCTGTCACTGCCCAGCACTTAGTGCGGTCGGTTATCGTTTTCTATGGAATTTCTTCGAGTGCCTTGGAGAGCTACTATCTGCAGGCATCAATAATCTTCTGAACCTCATAAAATGCACTAGGCGATTTGAGCATCTGGAAAGGGAAGAGGTATCTCCTTCGTAGGCCCAACATAGGTATCACAACGGGCCAATAGGCCTAAGTGCGCTTAATCAGGGTTCTCTGATGAAACAACTAACTAATTAGAAGCCTTTCGAAAACAGAACGGCTTGACATGATCTGCGACTTCTTCACTTGTTATAACTTAATTTATTAACTAAGAATTTTTCGTTTATAATTTTTTTTCTCTCCAAATGTGTCATAATTAAAACTTTAATTAAACACACCGCTCAACACTTAACAACAACAACAACCGCTGCAACGACTTATTAAAGGTCATGACTTCGCATACATTTGAATAACTAAATTTCTTAATTAATTCGACTCACTTATTAAACACATGCCAAGCAACACACATACATACAAACGCACATACAAGAGGCCATCAGTCTCATTAGAATAAAAATAACGAAATATGCATAGAAAAATGAAATGAAAAGAAGAGACAAAAACAAATAATAAAATAAATAAGCAAATAGCGAAAAATCAGAAATCAAATAGGCAAATAGACAAACCCAAGTTGAAGTAAAAAAAAATACGAAAATAAAATAAACAATAAATAATGGAAAATTGGCGTGTCTACACATGCACATGCACACATGTGGAGTATTTGCCAGCCAACACCTGTAAATAAATATAAAAATAGCCGATAGTCAAGTCATTATACCATAATTCACGATTTAACTGATCAGGTTCGAGTGTTAGCGGTACCTGTTTCACACTGCCTGTCTGTCCGTTATGCCATATTCACTGAGAACCAACAGAGAAATAAAAGTTTAAAGCGCTTGTCAGACACCAGCGAACAGCTATGCCGTGATAATGAAGATTAGACAGGGTTGAAGCTCACTCAAGGTGTTAATGATGATTGTAAGCTAGAACTTAATTATTCCAATGACATTGTTAACACATATATATTTTGTTGGTATTGTTGTTGACCACACGCACATAAAAATGCGGTTCCACCACACCCTTCACTGTCGCCGCCCAATAAGGGCTATAAAGCTGCAGGGCGTATGCGGCGGCACTAAGCGAACTGAATTGGTAAATGAGTTATGGCGTAAAGTTTTTGGAATGGAATTTCATATTCGTAATGGTTGCACGTGCCCATTCTTTTTGTGTACGTCTTTTTAGTCTATAAAATTTCCTTAAAGCATATCGGAGTGCTAATTTCAGGTTGCAGAGGTTGGCATTGTTGACGTTCGGGAAGTTTTGACAGCGATAAGATTTTAATGCCACATTTTTTTTGTCATAAGAAGTAAAAAATTATTCTTACATTTTTATATAAACATGAAACCGTTAAAAATGTTCACCAAATTCGGTATATGAGAATGATAATGAGAAGATAATAGCAAGAAGATCTCTGAAAAATTAAATGGAATACGTATTTATATTGAATAATGATTGCTGTTAATTATGATAAAATGTTTTTAACTTCATTTTATTTTAATTCTTACTTTTAAATTGTTGTACTTTTATTATTTTTTTCCATTTTGTTTTGGTTTTTATTTATTTTATTTTTACTTCATTTATTTTTTTTATTGTAATTTTAAATTTATTTAATTTTTTTGTAATGTATTTTAATCAGTAAGTTTAATTTAATTTTTATTTCTATTTATTAAATTATATTTAATTTTTTTCTATTTATATTTCATTTTTTTGCTTCGTTTTTTTTTTATTTTTTGTTAATTTGTTTAACTTTATTTCATTTATAAATCTTTCATAATTTATTTTGTGGAATTTTATTTTTTTTTTTCATTTCGTTAAACTTAATTTCTTTACTCATTTTGAATTATTTTAATTTATTTTGTTTATCTAATTTTATTTAATTTATTTTTTTAGACTATTTAATTTCGTTTATTGTAATTTATTTTTTTATTTTAATTTATTCTGTTTTATTTTATTTTAATTTATTTTTATTTTTGTATTTCCATATATATACACAGACATACAAACATTTTGAAAATTTTTATTGTATTTACGCGTACCTTAATATTTGTTGTTGCCATTTTATAATTATATTTAATTTAATTTATTTCATTTAATTTAATTGATTTCACATAATTTAATTGAATCTCCGGTTTTAGTTATCTATTTTATTTTTATTTAATTTGGTTTTATTTTATTAAATTAAATTTTTGTTAGCTTATTTAATTTAATTTATTAAGCTTGGTTTAATTTAATTTATTTTAATTTAATTTATTCTGTTTTAATTTAGTTATTTTTATTTTTCTATTTAGTTTAATTTACTTTATTTAGTATAATTTAATTTAATTTATTTTGAATAATATAATTTGAATTTAATTATTCTATTTTAATTTAACTTAATTTATTTTAAGTTTTTTACTTAATTTTTTATAATTTTACTTTATTTATTTTTTATTTTATGTTTTTATTATATTATTATATATTTAATTTAATTTTGTTTCAATCGATACAGTTTAATTTTTTAACTTTTATTCTATTTAATTATATTACCTTGTATTTTTTTATTTTAATTTTATTTTAATTAATCTTATTTTATTATATTTTATTTTGTTTTATTGCCTTTTATTTAATCTTGCTTTGTTTAATTATATTTTATTTTATTTATTATTTTATTTTACAATATTTTATTTAGTTTTAAAATATATTATTTTATTTTATTAAATTTTATGCTATTTAATTCAGCTTTTTCAATTTAACTTATGGTCTTTTTTAAATTATTTTTATAATTTTTTTTATTTTTTTTATATATTATTTTATTTTATAATATTATATATTATAATTTTATTTAATTTTTTCTAAGTTTATTAAATTTACTTTATATTAATTTCTTACGATACTTTATTGCATTTTATTTTATTTTATTTTATTTTATTGGATTTCGTCTAATTTTATGAAATTTATTTCATTCTATTAATTAATTTTATTTCATTTTAATTTAAATTAATACATTTTTTATTTTACTTTACATTTTTTATTTTATTTTATTGGGTTTTATTTCATTGGATTTTTTTTTATATTATTTAGTTTTACTTCATTTTATACAATTTTGTTTATTTTATTAAACGTTATTTAAATTAATTTACTCTGGCTTAATTAAATTCAATGATTAAATTTTCAAAACATTTTTAATGATTAATTCTTCAAACTCAGCTATTTGGGAATATTATTAGCACCACTCTAAGTGGTTTAGGAAGTGAATAGTTCTAGACTGCCATTAGTAGGGCTATTTATAATCTCCCATACATACATACTTATGTATGTAGTAGAGCCACAGGGTCATTGGTATATGCTAGTGATTTGCATGTTTTGACCTCTGTTCATAAACACGCACGCATAGGCAAAACCAGCGGCTATCAAGCGCCCACAAACGCTGCCGTCCACCCATCGCCTGCCCTAACCGCTTCTGTACGATTTCCGAGAACCGCTGTAATAATTCCATGCCAAT